CCAGCTAAGGTCGTGACATTACGCTGATCATTTATTGTTGAAAATAAACTATATATATCAAGAAAACATGATGAGATAAACTATCTGTAAAATGCTTATACAGATTTGGGTGATTAATTTTCATAGCTGGCTAGGCCAGAAAGTCAATTTTGGCTCCAGGTGGAGCTTATCAAGGTTTAGTATTTGTTGATGCTGATATTGATCGGCGGTCGGATTGGTATGGTTTTGGTATGGAATGACTTATCAACACCCGATATGGGTTGGTACTATCCAGACCAGAGGAAAAGAGGGAGAGAAGAGGGTACTATGAGGAGAATAGGTGGTTGAGGAAGTGTACCAGCAAGAGAGTTGGAAGATGGTGTTCCGAATGAGAACAGTGATGTTGTAAATGAACTTGTAGAAAATACACATGAGCCCACATGGGTGGGCTACAAACCATATGATATGGTTAACTTGGATGAAGGCTATTTTATAAAATAAGCTTTTCTTTTTGCTTCATGCTTGATGGTTAGGTGGCAGCAAAAGAAGGAACTGACAATTTGTTTTTACCCCATATGAAAAATAGTTAGATTTTTTAATTAAGTTCATTATGTCTAGAGGTATTCCAATATAATTATCCTATATGGTTAACTAGGTGGTAAGGATTTCTGCATCAAAATTTAATGTTAATAATTGCAATATGAAGTTAAATGGATGGTTATGAAACCAACTAAATTGAAACATCTGACAATTTAGGTGGTTTTTAAATGAAGCTAGTTTTTAATTGACATTTGATGATTAGACGGAGGAAAAAGGTGTGTTGACAAGTGATGTTTATTTCCTTTGGAAAGGTATTTAATATCTTCTAGTATTATAGTCCAAGAATGTTAAGGGTTCTTTGTTTAACTGTATAATATGATTGAAATTACTGAACTGTACCATTAATCCGTCGAGTGGCTCTGGCTCCTTAAGCAGCATGAGAGGTGGAATGAGATTTCTTAGCACATATATAGCTGAACTCATCTATCTTTGTAGCTGAGCCATGAAATTTCAATTAGCAATCTTAAATGTTTAGGGACAACACGTATTTTCTATTTGTTGTAAATGAACTTGCTATGAATAATGAGAGATTGTCAATTGATGATTGGTTCATTCTCTTGATCTCAGTCTTGAATCTTCATAGTAGTAAGGTTGCAGATGTATGAACCTTTGGCTAGGATCCTTGTTCACATGGCTACTCCTTTTGTGCCTACCCATTCATGATAATAGTATGAAATGTATGTGCAAAGCTATATTTGCTTGGTTGCATCCTTGAGGATCAGCAGTCAATAGGTGATCATGTGCAATTACTACTGTACTATAGTTAGCAGCCATTCACCAAATACAAGCCTTATTCAATCTAGTATTATGATCATGAATGTGGTACCTGCCCGTGTGTATTATTACATCACTGATCTTTCTGTGATACTGCTTTTATAGTAGTTTGATAGCTGATGATATGTGACCTCTCATAATTTATATTACATCCCTCATCTTTTTCTGTGATTCTGCTTTTATATTAGTTTGATAGCTGATGATGTGTGACCTCTCAGAATTTTACTGGTACAGCACCAGTATGTGGGATTTTATCGACAGAATTTTGCACGTGGCAATTGATTGTGATGCATTTGAAGAATATTTCGGTTAATTTGGGTTCTTCCGAAGGCATGTGAAGCTTTTAGAAGCAGAAATTTTCTTGAACCTCATTTGAAGAATTATATCTTTAGCCTATATAAGATATTCTTTTGTCTTGCTCATTGGTACAAATGCCGGAACAAGAATTGTTTGGTGGCATGATTTATATATTGTGTTTGTTTGAGTACTTAGTGTTATGTGCATGAATTGAAGTCATAGGTACAATTAGCTTTGGACCCCTCATTTTTTATGACACAATTGGATCTTTGCTTCTCACATTTGCAAATGACATGCTTCTTCTGAGGATTCAGAGAATTCAGTATGCAAAGACCAAGTCAGACATAATTGCAAAGGCTGATGGGACTTTTGTCCCGCGAGAAAGACGAAAAAGGCATGATGAAAGAGGTGAGATTAATCTTACTTCTTTTCCTTAATTTCATTCTTCTGTGTCAGCAGCCAATGATCCTATCGTAATTGATTTGATGACTTTTTTTTTTTTTTTTTACGGTGCTACATTACTAATTTAGGTTTTCAAATAATATTTGAAAGTGGAATATCATGTGTGGTTACTGGGAGCCCTCTCTAAATGTTTTTAGAGCATTGGTATCACATGCACTCACATGTATGTATAGATGCATGTGAACACACTAACGTGCATCTATATTCATATATTTGAACATATTTGTATAACAATATATAGGTACGTATTTGTATCTGCATGGTTTTGTGCATGTGCGTGCATTAATGTGCATTTGTGTGCACTCGTGTGTATGCAAGCAACACTTAAAAAATGTAATTACAGACTTGTAGTATATATATATAGTCAGACAACACACATAAATAAGATTATGTGTGCTGTCTGACAATTGGCATTTCAGCATTTTGATTGAACTAAAGATTCAAGATAAATAAGACTAAATTTATGTGGGTTTTATGTGATGCAGCAGAAAGAAAGAAGCGGGAGCAGCACCATGATGCAAATCAAGGTGGGACGGGCTTGAATTCTGCTTATTCTGGTGCCTATGGAGCTGTACCACCAGTAAGCATCTCATCTGGATTCCCTTTTTTTCTCCTAATCATATCCTCTTATATAATCTTATTTCAAGGATCCAGTCACGTAGCGTTACCATCGTCAAGTGATTCTCTTAGTGTTTCTTTCCGATTTGTTTTTTTTTTAGTTTTGGTCCTGTCATCTCATCATCTTTTGGTCTTTGGGAAACAAAATTTTACAGCTGTCTCAGTTGCCTTACGGTGGAGGGGCTAAGTCTATGCTGCCAGAGGCACCAGCCTTGCCGAACAATATACTCTTCATCCAGAATCTTCCACACGAGACGACTCCGATGATGCTGCAGATGCTTTTCTGCCAGTACCCTGGTTTCAAGGAAGTCCGGATGGTGGAGGCAAAGCCCGGGATTGCCTTCGTGGAATACGGGGATGAGATGCAATCTACGGTTGCCATGCAAGGGCTCCAGGGTTTCAAGATCACCCAACAGAATCCTATGCTCATCACATATGCTAAGAAGTAGGGGGTGGGTGGGTGGCCAACTGTTGGGAGTAAAAAGTAAATTTTGGCCTCTCATGTTTATGAGACCCATGTTTTTTCAATGGCCGATGGAGCTTTCCTCATTGAATGGTTTTAATCGTATGGCTGTTTCCGTTTGTCAAAAGGGTGCTGGAGAATGTGTGTAAACCGATCTTCTGAAACAATCTTGTGATTGCTGCTGAAAGGTGCCGTCGTTTTTTTGTCTGCGTCTGTGCCGATTCAGCAATTTTATACAACAAAAAAATAAAAAATTTGAACAACTCCCGCCTTAACTCGACGAAGGAAGAATTTGAATCTTTTTCTGAGTTAACCCATGTTTCTCCCACTGTCAAATGGTCTGCTGACGGCGAGTAACGAGATTCACCATCACAAGCCCCTCTACATTTTAAAAGAGTTGATTACATTTGCTTATCCTTTGAGTATACATATTAATGAGATTCACTTTTTTCAATATTTTTCTGCAAATTTTTCTTTTTTATTTTTGAGTTTTGATCTTTTGTGGGTGTTCATCCCTTCCTGGTCTATTATAAAATCCACCAAAGTTTGAAATGGATATCATTTCTTGCATGTCTCTAAAGTTAAAAACCCTCCATATAACAAATGCTATATTAAAATTTTTCACTCTCCCTCTACCACAATCTTCCACGAGTGTTACATGTGAATTTTTCTCCTTCTCGTCTCGAGAAAGTTTAGAGAAAGGACATGACCAAAAATTACCCTTAGCGATCGATAAAATCTCTCCACGAGCCCTACAATGTCGAAGGATAAATCCCCTCATATCATCTTTTTCTGAGTTACCCTACATAAGACTTCCATTCGAAACAGAATGGAATCCTAACCTGGATCAACCCACCCTCCTCTGGATAAAATCTTATGATGGCTACCGATAGATGCCAAAAGTCACTCTTTTGTCTACGTCTTAAAGTGCCCATTCAACAATTTGATACAAAACTATTCAAACAAAAAAATAAAAGATTTGAACGACTCACGACTTAATTTGACAAAGGAAGAATTTGAATCTTTCTAGCTCTCATAACCTATGTTTCTCTCCCACATGTCGAATGACAATATGTGGACGTGCGAGTGACGAGATTCACCATCACAAGCCCCTCCACATATTAAAAGAGCTGATTACGTTTGCTTATCCTTTAGGTATACATATTAATGAGATTCACCTTTTTCAATCTTTCCCTACAATCTTTTACTTTTTTTATTTTTGAGTTTAGGTCTTTTGTGGGTATTCATCCCTTCCTCCATGGGACTTGCATTCCTAATCTATTGCAAAATCCACCAAAACTTGAGATGGATATCATTTTCTCTATTGTCCATATCTCAGGGGTTTCAACGAAGAAAATCTCGAATTAGAAACTCTCTATATAACAAGTACTACATTGAAAATTTTCCCTCTCCCTCTACCACAATCTCCCTATAACGAGTGTTACATGCAAAATTTTCTATTTCACATCCTGAGAAAATTTAGAGAAAGGACATGACCAAAGACTATCCTTAGCAATCGATAAAATCGATCCACAAGCCCTACAATGCCGAAGGATAAGTCCCCTCATATCTGTCTTTTTTTTTTAGTTATCCACTTCCATTTGAAACAGAATGGAATCCTAAACTGGATCAACCTACCCTCCTCTAGAGTCTGAAAAGCACTTTTAACCTACGACCTATAGAGACATTCTCATTTTCAACCTCCAGAATATAGCTAATTTTAGCTTGCTCTTTCTCGAGCTTTTTCTTTCTTGATCCCTTTTAATCTCACACTTCTCCAATAAGCAGAACCTCATGGGATTTCAATGATTCAGAACCTCATGGGATTTCAATGATTTCCCAATCATTGTTGCAATCTGGGACATCAATCTCGGCTGCTATAATTGAATCAAAATGCCTAAATATTGCACTCACACGGGAGCCTCCACCATCCTCTCCCAGAAGATGATGATTTCTATCGAATCAGTGTTAAAGCCTAGCATCGCAGAAACACTGAGCCTCCCACTGAAGTCCCATCATCATTTCTTCACTATGAAACCTAAAGCAAAAGAATCCGACAGCCAGCCCCCATTGCTTAGATAGACCACTCTTCAGGATCAAAAATGGAGAGGACTTACCTAAGAACTTGCCTTAAAAATCGTTCCATTGGACTCCTCTTTGTTCTCCAATGTTGTACGTTCACTCGAATGCATCTCGAGAGGGATAGGCAACCTCTCTAATGGGAAGTTCGATCGCTACAGAGGAGAGCTCAATCTCTCCCGCTCATGAAAGCTCACTTTGGAACTGAATAAAGACTATTCTTTTGCCCAAGAACAGATTTGCTGCAAGACTAACCTCATTGGCAGATATTGTATAAATAGTTGCAGATGCATCTTTACGCTCCATAGCTTCCTGAAGAAAAATGTTTAAATTAAAACAACATTTTCGTCTCTTGCTTTTTAGCTTGGAGATCTACCGGAGTCTTGGCATCAATAGAAAAATATGCACTCTACCATGCCCACAAAACCATACCACAGAAAGATGCCCAGATCAAAGGTAGAACACCAACGAATCGATCACAAATACAATATTCCAACAGTTCCACAAATGCAAACTGCTGTCTCCAGCAGAAGCCAATCTTCTTATCAGTAACATATCAGGATATCTTTGGGTCACATCACAACATGTAATTTGGCGAAAAATTCTGCTGCAGTCAGCTAATCATCATTATGTACTATTGATCAAATTAGAATGTTCTTTTATTTGTGTTTACTGGTTTTGATAATTCTTCATATAGTCTTTGTGGGCACTGCAAATCATATTATATGGAGCTAATATTTGATTTAAGGTTCCGTGACTAATGATGAGGTGAGAGGGCCGACGCCTTCATACCCCTACCAAATTCTACCTCAACTATACAAGCTTCAAAATTCCAATCTGGTGCTGTTATTGGTTGGCAACTTAACCATACAAGGCCATCAAATCAACCTCATGCTTTCTTGAACAAACACCTTTGGTTCTCGGTGGCGACCACCAAGAAGATCAGGACAGCAAAAGAAGAACCCGGTAACCGACATCCACAAACCAACGCAATCAAATATTTCGTGAAACCCACAACGATCAAAGATTCTTCCAAGAAGCATTCATAAATCAACGTAATAGCGAAACCGAGGCTACATGATCGAATCCAAGAAGCTTAATGACCTCAATTGCGAGGTTGTGGCGTCCAAGAACAAGGGTTTCAGAGACTCAGAAAATGAACTCGGTACCTGATCTCACCGACAGCGATCGCACCGCGGTTTTCTAGAAGAAGAGGAAGAGCAACGGCCTCTCTCTCTCTCTCTCGCATCGCGGTATTCAAGAGGAAGAAGAAGAGGAGGAGCAACAGCCGCCACAGCACCGTCTTTCTCTCCCTCTCCCTCCTACAGTGTTGGGAAGTTAATCGGTTAAATAAGGAGCAAAACCGGGTCGGATGGTAGGCAAACCGACCCGACCCGACTACTTTATTCGGATCAAAACACCCCTGATAAATTTTTGCCTTGCTGGCCCGTGGCGGCCCTGAAAACAGTTTATTGTCACGGGTGATTCCCCTCGACGTTCGAAATTTCCAGATTCCCGCGCACCACACTGCCTGGGGCCCATTACGGCCTCCAGCCAGCAGACCGGTACGTCACAAGCGTAAGGTTAAGTTCGTACGGAAATCTATGTAAAAGAATACAAACCTTTTGCGTATAAGAATTACTACATAATCATGCGATTCACATTCACATAATCCTCAGTCGATGTAAGTTTTTGATGCATCATTGTGCATGTAGAAAGCCAACTGTCCACTTGGGAACATTTGCCAGTGTGGCAAAATACTACACTCACCCTGTGACAAAGCTTCAACAAATACATCTCTTCCAATCTGACATTTGTATAATAACCATAAGCATAATTCTTGAGACAATAAGAACGATAAAAGTAATTCTGATATATGGGTGTCTGAGAGTTAGCAGATGTGACATCGAGAAGGAGACCACATTTCCTGTGCTCTATCACCCAGACTACACTCGCTACACTAACATTTTCCATCACCATGTCCTTGGAATTTCTTAGTACCACAAGCCCATCAATTCCTTGCCCTGGATACAATCAGTTATACATACGCGACATATCACCAAATTACCCTAAAGGTCTCCAAAATTACCACCTTTGCGATTCTGATTATGATAAAGCCTGATCACTTTTAGTTTTAAGGGTGGACCGCAAGAAACTTATCAGCTTGTCAAGGTATGACAGTGACACATCAGGCCTCAGCAACAATGTCCTCATCGGTTGTGTCAGATGTGATAGTCTCCTCTGATACGTTTGCATCTGGAATGTCACCTTCAGGGCCTGCATTTTTATCAGTGCGGCAATCCAATATTTTCTCCCTCAGCTTCGCTATTAATTCTTCTCGGATCGCTTGATTGTCAGCAAGATAGCATTTGAGGGCATCTCTTCCATGGAATTTGCGTTCTTCGTAAGTATAGAAAGAACCACGAGTCGTAATTAACTCGTGCTTGCACCCTATTTCGATAATCTCCGACTCACCAGAGATCCCCTTGCCGAACTCAAGCTCAAACTGTGTTGTCCTAAATGGAGGGGCATGTTTATTCTTCACAATTTTCACCGTAACTTGAGCCCCCAGAGTCTGCCAAAACAACAATCATGTTATGATTATTGCAAAAACAACTACATCCTTCAATCATGTAGTAGCTTTTTTGCAAATGAAAAGGTTCAAATATGCTCCATAGAGGGATAAAAGCAAAGATGCAGATGGATAGGACAGTAGGAGGAATTTCCCACTCTGCAAGGTAAACTACATAGTAACTTAAATCTGCATTCTGGAATATACTGTGATTAATTAAAAATGTCCTGTTGTCCCATGGTCAACCATTCATATGGAATCATATCCCATAACGGACTCTAGAAGCTACATAGAAATTCCAAGTACCAAAGAAAGTTGGAAAAAGGTTTGTCTCTGTTCAATGTCAGTCCTACCAAAATGTTTAGTATAACTACTAACACAATTATACACAAAATGAAAAGTATGGCATAAGTAGTTTTACCTCATCACCCTTCTTAACCAAGCCAGTCCTTTTGATGTTCATGCGAACAGATGCATAGAACTTCAAGGCGTTGCCACCTGAAGTAACTTCTGTTGGTCCACCATACCCAAATGTGCTCAC